AACAAACGCCGACTCCAATGAAAATTTAATCACGGACGAAGTCTTCGATGGGGGTTTGTGCCCTATTTTGACTTTTCACAGCATGCACTTACATGTTTCGGAATATTATTGCTCCTATCAATGGTGCCTGTTGGCAATGCTTTTAACATTAAACACTTTCCCATGTATACGATGGTAATTGCTTTGTTTAGGACCATGAAGACCGTCTCACTAACTCGGTAAAACTTTGACAATGAGGTTGCTTATTCTAACCTGGGGCAAGCGCAAGGGATGGACCTGACTCTGGACCAAAGGAGTTGCTTGTTAATTCACTTTCACACTCAACAGGTGGTAACTACTTATTAACTAGGCCCATTCCACTTCGCTTTGTATATGGCAAACGTCTAATTAGCGAATGCCTGAAGCTAACAACTTCCGCCAGTTGAAGTCCAAAAGGACCACCGTATTGGGAGCTCGCCTTTTTCAGTAAAACATCCACAATTTCACAGATGATGAAGTTTTCGATTTACCTCGCTCAACAATGTTTACATGGTGCTACAACGTCCCAACCTGTTGTGTCAAGGCTTGTTACGGCGTAATGGCACTCCTGGATGTGAGGCAACAGCAATTTCGTCAGTTCAATCTGGCCTTAATTTGAAGGTGCTGCTATTGTGATACTTGGAGGTGTTTTGGCAGGCTTGCTGTGAACACAAAATGAAAAGGCAGGCGGAATTTAGAGAGCGAGAGTTATTCGGCCGACTGGAAACGCGCCCTTTTAAATTAAACTATTCAAATTGCACAGTCGAACTTGGTGCTCAATCCTGGCAAAAAATTAACATTTCCGTCATGGAGACAATGTGTTTTGAAGATTTCGCTGTTCAAACAACCTGTCGATAGGCTAACTTCTCCATAAAATTGCACACATAGTTTTTTGTGGTTAAAATTGTTCGAAAATCAAGAGAATTCCTTAATCAGAATGGAAGAAAAAGCGAAATTAAGCTAGGAAACAGATGAGTTTGGATCCGTCCACAGCGCACTTGTGGAAGAGATCAGAAAGAGATTATGCAGCTGAAATCCAAAGATTTATCCAAAATTTCACTACCACTGTGCTATTAATCGAAATGATCTGCTAGTTGAAACGAAGCTCATAAATATTTACAGCGATGTAACGTTATGCATCTATTTACGAGCAGATG